GTGAAATAGCCCTTCTCTACATCCAACCCCTCTTGAGCTGCCAACATCTCAACCTGTGCTTGCACTCTGTCTGGGCCAATCCGATTAGGCTCCAAGAGCATGCAAGCAATCTCAGCTGAATCATCGCCATGAAATAGGGCCAGCGATTGTACTGTTGGGAGTCCACCACCACGAGCACTTACCATGCGTGCTATCCGTCGAGCAGTTGAAACATCGGTGCACATGATGGGAATGTTGTATAATGTGACCCATGACCGTGCCCCAATCAGTGTGATTCCTCTGGTCCGAGACACATGGGTTGGACCATGGTCAGGATTTTCTGGGAGAATTTCGGGTATGTTCCACCCTGCCCATTGGCTGCCCATGAAATTTGGCCTGTAGTAGCCCAGCTCACGCCTGATTGTGTCCGGGGCCCTGCCTGTTGGGTGTGCTGCAGCATAAAGGAATACTGGCACTGCAATATATCAAGAAGGACAAATAAGAAAGTGGTGGATATTTTCGAGACTAAAAAAATGCTGTTTCGAGTGAAATATTAACATCTGCAGTGTGATAAATATGGTGCTAGTTAAAGTTTCGGACCAACCTTGAAATCTGCTGCCAATATCTGCTGCCACAGCCTTAGCAAGCCAGGCTGCTTCATCCAGTGATGCTTCAGCCAAAGGGTGGAAAGCAATATCATCTACAACGCCAAGTCGAGGGTGTGCGCCAGAGTGCAACTCTAGGTTAATGGCTCCATAAGCAGCTTCAACAATGGCTAGCACAGTTTGGTGCAATGGACTATAAATGGGACTACCAGTGCTATCAGCAACAACATATGATACAATAGTGAACCTGTTCCTATTATAAACTCGGACCTCAAATTTGTTTACAATGACACTTTCTGGGTCGATCCTAGCAGCTCGTTCAATTAAGTCCAGAGCTGCACGGTTACGTGCTTCAGAGATGAAGAGCATGCAGCATATCAGCATGGATTCATTTGCATTTTTTTTGTTCTATGCAACCACGACGAACAAGAGGATATTAGATATCTACTGATGTCGGTAAAAGAGTTCACACCAATGAGTCAAAGGCTTATTGGTACCCAGCCAATTAATCCCATCCTATCATTTGATCATAATAATTCAAAGTTTATGATCAGAATTGTCATTTTCGAGATCAGTGACCATTTAATCTAGCGATGATGTCTCTTGCAAAACATGAGAAGGGGAAAGACTCAAATTTGCGTACTGTCTAAACAACCAAAGAAATGACAGGCTGGTCACATGCTCTGCTTATAGCTTTCTGCTATTTATAAAGAAGCGTTTGGTTGCTGTTTATGGACAGAAAAGATAGAGACAGTGGGACAGAGGAAATATGTCCCCCTGCTCACTCCAAAATTGTCCCCTACACATTTATTTCATCTTTCCATTTCTCAACCATACAAGTTTCTGTCTCTTCTATACCTGTCCCTTCTATCAGAGGACACTAACCAAACACAACCAAGGAACAAGTGTGTGGTAGATTGGCAGGTAAGTGGAGGTCATGTTTAGAGATTTTTCCAGGGGTTAACTTGTTACATGGTCAAATTGGTTTAGCTTCAAATGCTTCTGGATTATCAGCTTGCTAGTTTTATTGAAAAGAAAATACTTAAAAGAAGTAGAATGCCAAACGAAGATCATGCTCAAAAATCCTAAAAACTAAAAGGGTACTAGAGATAAGGAGTATATGGCTATGCAGACAACAACAAAGAAGGGAAAAGTAGAAAGAAGCTACTCAAATTGCTAAAAAATTATATTGATCCCACAAAAAACTCAAATGGGATTATTTTAGTTGTTTTAACATTCATTAGTAAATTTGTACGAAACAAGAACTTTTCAAATGAACACAAACTTCAGAGCTAATGTTCTAATTCAGAAGTGATCAAAATTCAACAAAGATCAAAATAAATAATCTTCCTGTACATGTAAAAACAGAAACATGAAGATATGAAGGTAAGTATCCTGATGCTTTCTTGAGAGAAAGAAGAGATGAAATTCTATGCAAGACAATAATGTGGAGTTGATGATGTTTACCTTGCAACTCGATTCAAAATCCATTTCTTGCCTTCTGCTCAAGATGATCTTAATGCTTTTGCCTATGCTTCACTATTCAAGGGAAGGAGTTGATGGCGATAGGATATGTCCTATGTGCATATATAAGCCATTAAATCACTACTAATAATTTAAACTAGTGTGAGTCAGCATTTCACAAATTCATTAAAAAACTGTCCCCACAATGCGACATCAAAATCAGCAGCCATGGATAAGGAGAAATATCAGTGGCTTATTTACCAAAAGCAGATCCACGAGGTGCTGAATAGCATCATATTTTACTCATAAGAAAGCATTGGGTGTCATGAGTAGACATATCACATGGATGAAGATCATTTTCTTATGAAAGAAGGTTCTCCATTATCTATAAAATGACAAACAAAAGCCCACAGAATCATATTGCCATATTAGTAAGTAGGAAAGTTCATAGTGCTGAGGGCAGGTAATTGTTCTTGTGAACCCAGTGCCTCTCATTGCCAGTAGAGTTATTACAAGGACAGTCTCCTATCCACAAATTTAGATATTTGTTTCATCTTGAAAACCATTGATTTCATTTATTGAAAAGGACACAAAAATATGTCCCTTTGTGATATAACATGTGATTATTTGTTAAAGATTTTCATTGAGGTTTCAGTGACTCAGCCCTAGGGAAATGAACTTGAATATGAGCCCTAGCAACCAAAAGATGAAATCCATCAAGGGCCTTGTATCTCAGATTGAGATTGGAGTCAGGAAGTAAAACCCACCTCATTTTTCAGGCTATTAGAAATGTTTTTAATGGTATGAAAAAAAGAATAGCTCTGAAACTACACTGGTAGTTTAGGTGAAGCATAAATGGGGCACATTATAATAGATACAACACATGGTTTCCATGACTATTTCTGAACCCTAGACCCCACCCCCCTCATAATTTAAAGCTTTCGATCTATCAAATACCAAAAACAGCCGAGCTCTATTGTGTTAGCATTGATGCTGATGATACAACAGTGAGAAGCAGAAACTGAGAAAGACAAAGAAACCGTCTCGTAGCAACCTTATCTTTCTAAGATTTTTAGAATCTTTATGACCAATCATATCAAGCGGAAGATGATCTTACATTTATTTTTCTTCTATTTGTCCATTAACATAGATACATCAATTAGGTCATGCACTAGATGTAAGGATGAATCATTACCTGTGTGCTAAACATCCTCATAAAAAAAACTAGAATATGGCACTTTTATACGTGATTGAAAAATCAACTATGATTGAGTGAATGAATCTAGAAATTCTCATTCAACCAAAACATCCTTCCCATCTCATCTTGGCAACAACGGTCTATTCTGAAAGGATTAGGTGGCATTCCTTATATTAAACGAAGTGGTTTCTATTCTAATTCTGATGTTATCAAGATCTGAGTTGTCTCTTGTGCAGATAACAGCTTTCTGCACTAGCTGAAAGATTTCTCTTTATTGTTTCACAAGCAAATCTGCAAAATTGAGTTTGTTAAGGTCTCGACGAGTTCCTAAGCAGATAAATCATGAAATTCCGAACAGAGAGTTTGGTCATCTTTATTTCTGTTTTGTGCTCTATGCCGAACAATATCCAGGCCATCACTATTTCTTGTCTGATTTGATTAAAAAAAAAAAAAAGACTTATTTCTTGTCTGATTTGATTAAAAAAAAAAGACTCCGTACAGATTTCAACTAGAATATCAGGTAATTGTTCAGTGATTCAGGTTTCATTGTTTCAATGTCACAGCACTTTGCTGAAAGCAATCCTGCTATCAAACAATTCCAGATTGTATACAACACTATATTGCTTGCCTATTCACTAAGCTTTGCTTTAATTTAAACAAAATCCTTGGAAATTAATCTTTCTCGTAGACAACGAATACCACACTTCATGCCATCCATATACGTGAAAACTGAAGTGCAAAAGTGTTGCTTCTTTATGATAGTAAGAGATAGAAAGAACGCCATTAGAGAAGCGCATTCGAGAAGGCAGAGAGGAAAATATGAAAAGAGAAGATGAAACTAGTGAAATCTAATCACATATGAATTCTCTGACAGAATCACATTTAAGCATTGCAGAACACATTCTTGTTTCAAATATTATAGGAAATTGTTCTCACCAGACATCAAGACGACCAGATGATCTGCGAGAGAACTCTTATGGAGGGATGAAGAGCAGATATAGAGATACAAGTTGAACCAAAATATACATAGTATTTATAGGAATTTTTGCATCTAAGCAATCTCTCAAGAATATGAAGCCAAAACCTCACCGCTTCTAAGATGATGAATATGCTGGTAAAGACGTACACATTTCATGTGTGGACAACCATTCACATCACATGCATCGGAACAAAAATCCCTTAGAAAGACACCTTCAGCGTAGCATTTTTTTTAAAAGTAATTTTCACAGAAGGGGCAATACCTTCTCTGTTACAAAATTGCATCTTGTGGTTACATTAGGGGACAAAAATTCAAGTAATTTTCAATTATTTTATCCTGTGAGAAATCTGTAAAATATCCCTTCCCCACAGCCACACCCTCCTCCTTTGCGAGTCTCTCAACTTCTTGCTGAACCATCTCTCCTCCTACATTACTTGGTTCCAACAAGTTACAAGCCACCTCAATGACATCATCACCATGTGCAAGTGCCATTGCTTGAACTGAAGGAAGTCCGCCTCCTCTCCCACTAACACGTTTTGCAATTCTACGAGCAGCAGCAATATCAGTGGAGAAGACAGGGACATTGTAGTTATCAACCCACCTGGTTGCTCCAATAACAAGAACACCTTTTGCTTCATTCACTTGTGCTGGACCTTCATCTGGCTTCAGTGGCAAGGACTCTGATTTTGGCCCACCTGCCCATTGGTTTCCAGAATTTGGCTTGAAATAACCCAGCTCTCTTCTGATTGAATCGAGTGTTCTCCCTTCAACATTGGCAGCTCCATATAGAAATGTGGGGACTGCAGGCTACATATGAGATCATTAGCAATGTAGAAACAAAATGAGCTATGATCCAATAAGGAGACTGAACACAAATTCAACATAACACAAAAAATTTCAGCATGCCTTGAGAAATAAATATTCATCCATTGATATCTCCTTTATTCTGAACAGAAATAAGGCTCCAATCATAAAAAAAAAATTATAATTTTCACTGCCTCACTTTGAATCCAATGCCAAACTCATTTCATTTGTTTAATTTCCAATGGGTACTGAAATGCTCAGTAGATCACCTTTGCTTTCAAGGTAGAGACACAATGCCATTTTTCTAATATGCATTCCCAGGGAAAACTTAGTACTTGAAGCACATATATTGTGTTTTGTTTTGTGCTAGAAGCTGTGCCAGCGGGTTATTGAATGACAGTGTTGGGCTGTTGTTTAGCAAACACAAACAATTGGATCAGGAATTTGCAGCATCGATTTATGTTCATTGAAATAAACCATCACTCAAATTCTAGAATTTAGAAAGCCAGAAGAAAAACCAATCATATCCAATTGAAATCAGAAGAGAAGAGATATATACAATCTACTGCTACTTAGCCTGCCTCAGGTATTATTATAGGCAGGGAACATAGTTTTGAGAAAGTACCATCTTCGGAGGAGAGAATCTAGACTTGTCATCAAGCTAATTAATCAAACTCATCGTTTTTATAGGTTTCTTTCACTTCTATACTATCATGAAAAACAAATTCTTCAAATCACAGATAAGTTTAAAGGGCTCGAACCTTGAAGACTACAGCCAACGTCTACTGCCAGAGACTTTGCAATCCCAGCTGCCTGGTCTAAAGATGATTGAGCCAAGGGATGAAAGCAAATGTGATCAACAACACCAAGCCGGGGATGACTTCCACAATGCAATCCGAAATCAATAGTTTCCAGAGCAGCTTTAACCATAGCAAGCACAGCACCCTTCAAAGCACATGAGTCTAAAGATGGTTTTGGAGCCAAACTCGAGACAAGAGTGTAGCCAACTCTATTATAAGTCACATCTTCAAACTTATTAACAATAGGTGCTTCAGGGAATAGCTTTGCAGCTCTTTCAATAGATTCCAATGCCACTTTGTTTCTGCTTTCAGATATGTATACCTTACAGCAAGCAAGCATCATCTTCAACATAATTTCTCCTCCTTACTACCTTTTTCACAAGCTGCACAAGCAGATAGAACTTAGATGATAGAAATTGACATTATCAACAAACTTTGTGGTTATAATTCCAGGGGACCACAAAAACCCCAACCTCTCCCAGTTACCCCACATTATAAAAGTAAAATTTTCAAGCACCGATCTTTAAATGAAAATAGTCATGAAAATCCAAATATTAAGTGAACAAGGCTTAAATTCTTCACAGTGGAGTTGCTGATCAATAAAGCTTCAGTATCTAACACTATCAGCAACACTAGAATTGTATACTTCCTGAAATATCGGATCAAACATAACATTCTACAGGTTCAAAACCAACTAAGCTATCCAAATTCAATAACTTATAGAAAATAAAAGGCTATTAAGCTTCAAAATCAAACACAATCAACTACACTAGAATTTTATACCTAGCTATATTAGATCAAATAAAATCTAAAGATCCAAACTTTCATAGACCACAAATTATCACATAAAAAAGAAACATTCTTGTTCTATTAACCAAAGATCCACTTGAACTACAAAGCTTCAACAAAAAAACCACCAAACCCATTACACAAAGACCCAAAAACTCCCTCATCAAAACTCGATTTCCTTTGGTTTTGGGTACCCATCATACTCCAATTTCACACCCAAGCCCGCCCTTATAACCCGAAACTTCAACCTCAAACTATCCATAATCTCACTCACTCTCTCATCTTCCGGGTCTAAAACCGGGTATTTCTCAATCAACTCCTCCATCTTCTTAATAGACTCCTTCAATCGGGTAGAGAACCGGGTCGGGTCAACAAGAATAGCAGAATTCCATACATCAACACAGCCACGATAAAACCCGAGTTCTTCACCGATTCCAAAGCCCATTTTCAGGCCCGTTTGTTCCGCTTCTTCTTTTCCAGACATTAACCCTTGGCTGTAGCCTTCATTGTAGCCTTCCTTGAAATGGGTTTCCTCTAAATTTAGAGAGGAATCGAAGATGTCTTCAATGGAGCTTAATTGAGATTGAGAATTCATCCGATAAAGTTCGCTTTTTCACGTGCTTTTTTGGATTGACCCAGTAAATAAAATCGGGTTTTTTTTTATAGGTTTTGTTTCCTTAACAGAGAAGCAGATGATAGTTTACCTGTGCAGCAGCGTGAGACACTGAGAGCTCGAGGATTCCTTGGTTTGTGATTCCGTGGATGTAGTGCAGATGGGTCTTTGTGTTTTTTAACGTTTGGGCTCAAAGAGTTAATGCTTATTGGGCTTTAAGTTGGATCTCTATAGTTATAAGAACAAATTTGAGATGTACCCAACCCAAAATCCAGATCGTCGTTGAGTGAGTTAACCCATGATCCTTGGATTAGTACGTTAAACCATACTTTGAATTATTATTTTTAAAAATTATGAAATGATATTTAAAAAAAAAAAAAATAATTGTATTTTTTTCACTAACCTAACTCAGATTAGGTTCTAGATAAGCGGATCATTAAATTGATCATTGAGCAGATCAAGTTTTATTAATTATATTGGTTTCTAACTTTTTTATTATTTTTTTAATTTTTGGGTTTTATTCAATAATATATTCCTAATATTTTTTGTACATCAAATTAAATTATAAACTATAAAAAAACTTATTCTTTCAAAAAATTGTTAAATTCGAACTCAAAATGATAAAATGCATAGAAAACTCACTTGTTACATGAGCTCACTATGTTATGATAAAAATTGACTACCATTTTTATTTATATATTTCATCAAACATTTTTATTAATTGCAATTATGCAATATAAAATAAAATTTAATGGATATTGTGCATACATGTTCTGAATTCTGAATAGGTCTATGAAATTTATAAAAGATAATGAATATGGCACAAACATTTTTATTAATTGCAATTGTGCAATGTAAAACCAACAAACCCTCATTAAACCATGAAGAGATTCATAAGTTTTATAAAGTTTAATAACATGAATTTTTTTAAATTATTTTTTAAAATGTTTAATAAAAAATAGATATTCATAAAATCAAGTTTAATTTAAAAAAAAAAAAGAAATATCCTGTGAAGCCTGCGAACAATATCTTGTAAAATTAAGTATCAATCTGATGCCGGTATATTTTCTGAAACCACAATAAATAATTAAAATAAATTATTAACTTAACATCCTATTAAAAACATAATGGAGGACTAAATTAAAAATAATAAAAATTCAATAATTGAAGCAAAAAAATGACCAAAATGCAAAATAAAAATTGCAAAACATTGCATATTACTATTACTATTGTAATCTACAATATTTATAGATGTAGGGAAATATTTTTTTCCCCACACTATTTAGTATTTTTTACAGTAAAAATAATAAAAATTCAATAAACAAAGAAAAAAAACATGACCAAAATACAAAAAATAAAATAATAATAATTTTTAAGACTATATGAATTATTACTGTAATTCACATTATTTATGGGTGTGGGGAATGTAGCTTTCTGCATGCACTTTAGTGTTTGTTGTAATGGGTAAGAGATTTCACTTGGATGGGAATTAGAGATTCTTTTCTCTAGTAGAATAAATGGAAAGATTTTATAGTTCTGAGAGTAATTATTGATATTTACTTTAAAGAGAGAGATATATATAAGGAGAAGAGAAAAAAAATAAAAAAAATAATAATCTACATGAAAATATTTTTATTATTTTTTATGAGTCTCAAATTTAATTTTCTTTTTCATCATCCATTTCTTTTTTCAAAGTGAACCAAAAAACTAACCACTCATACTTACTTCTTAAATATCATAAAAAATTTTATATATAAAAATAAACCTAAGTGTAGACTCCTTAATAAACGAGAAGGAATTGTCTTTTTAATACATTATAAGTGATGAAGTCGTCAAAAAAACTTTACATATAAATTAGTCTCTTCATTGTTGGGCTGACGAGCTTGACTAGTGATTGTTCAATTCATTTTAAAAAAATAAGTTTCTTAAAGATTAAGAAACTCTCGAATACGTATTGCATAATTCAGTATATATATGTGGAAGAAAACATTACACATGAAGAGAAAAAAAGTAAAGCGAAGATTAAAGAGTGCGTATTTGACATATAAATTGTATGGCTTAACATGTTTGATCTGGTTTTCAATAGTTTGATTGGACTTTCATGTTATTAGGCTAGTTTTGGATGATTTTTATGGGTTTTGCTAACATTTATGATCTAAAATACAAAGTTAAGACTTGCCTTGCTAGAAATTGCTCCCTAACTTATAGGCTTAGTTGTCCTCTAGCTTGTTTGCCTAATGACTAGGCATATTTTATACACTTAAGCTTTAAAATCTTTTCAAGGAGTAGAGATTGTATCATCGATGGAAAAATTAATATTTATATGGGTTGTTGAGCTTATTTGATTCATTAGTGCTATCCATGCTTTTTGTTTAGGAAAAAACCATTATTGGACTATGATGATTCTTGGCTGATGTGCTATGGATGTTATTGGTGAAAATCTTGGGTGACAATATGTTATTGGTGAAAAAGTCATGTGAATCGAGAAATTATATATATAAAAAATTTATATGAGTACTTTATAAAAATCTAAAAAATACATAAAAAATATAACAAATAAAATGAGATAAACCATGTTTAACACCAAGTTTATGATGAATTTTTGAGTTGAAAGTTTAGACATTTTGGCTGAAATTTCAACTAATTATTCTTTTTTTTTTTAACAATATTATCTTGATCTCAATCAAGATTATATTGATGTACACTATTGATAATAGTGTTCCCCTATGTTGATGTATATTATCGATTCTCTTCCCCTGTAAATATTTACTCGTATTATATAGAGATTGGTAAATATATTTGATTACTCACATAATATAATTAATTATCAATCTTCCACGAAAATATTTTCATTAATTAGAAGATGCATGTAATTGAAAATTAAAAATTGTTTAATTAAATTCCAAATAAGTTCAGTACTATATCATGTGTGGTTGATTGTGACACACATTAGTTTCTTCTCTACAACTTTCTTATCACTTGAAAAATTAATTCCTCTAGAATGCACATAATGTTTTTTTGAATTTTCAAGTTATCTCATAATTTTATTTAGTTCTTCAAAAATTAACTTACTTTACATCCTTTGAACAATATTTCATGAACATAATTTACAATAAAAGTCGAGTTACAAGCTCGCTATCAACTTCATAATTAATGAATTAGTTTTTTTAATCAAAATAATATCATTTTAATATATAACTTACTTTCATCTCTTTAATCCTTTTTTGTCAATTAATTCAGAAATTAATGAATTAGTTTTTTTTAATCAAAATAGTATCATTTTAATATATAAAAAAATTAACAAAATAATATTATTTTAATTAAATATTGATTTATAAAACCATATCATATTCATGTTTCAAATATTAGGTACCACGTCAAGTCAGGCCATGCTTTTATAAATACGTTGAAGAGGAATAAATTATTTTTTGCGACCATAATCCCATGTCATAAAATTTGTTGCCAATTGAAGTTCATATATACAGCCAAAATGGGCCTTGTGATAAAGTCAGTGTACCGCATGCGAACTTGAAATATTTATACATACATAGCCACGAAAGGGCTCCAGAATCAGCGCCTGGAAACAGCTTCCATGCTTCTCCAACCTTGTTAACTCCGCTCTTTTGTATGAGAGAGAGAGAGAGAGAGAGAGAGAGGAGTAGATGCATCATGCATGACTCTTTTTCCATGGCAAGCAAGGTCTTGTAGGTATAAAATACTTCAAACCTTGCTAAAGAATTAAAAGGAGAAAGGCCCTTTTCTTCTTCTAGTCTTGATAACTTCACCTTTAAGAGCTAGCTAGAGAGATCATGGCTATGGGGGGATCCCACAAAGGAAACGGTAATGGAAATAGAGGGAAGCCATATGGGTTGATGTTGCTTTTAGCATTTGGGGCTGCTTTGCTTGGCGTTATGGTGCTACACAAGCTCAGAGAGAGGCGCATCTTCAACCTCCTTGTGGAAGAGAAGGGCCAAGAGCTCATTTCCCTTCAGCTTCTCTTGCAGGTCCCTCTCTCTTTCCCTCTCTTTCATGCATGCATGCTACTTTTGACGTGTCTTCTCCTCTCTGCTTGAAACCTATGATTCTTTCATGGCTTTAATTTTTTTCACCAGTTTTTGGTGAAAAGAAGGGCTGTGACTTCAATTCAGTAGAAAAAGTAGACTTCTTTTAGCAATTTCACTAATTCAGTCATGGAAAACCCACCATTTTCTGGGACCAGTTTTGCTCTCCAGCTAGTTTTTACTTTCTTCAACATACTTGACCCCATGTGGATTAGGTAGAACGCAGCTTTCATTTCGCCATACCTAGAAGCTAGTAGGTAGTGCATGATCCCAAAAGCTATTGACCCACCCATCAGCCAAAAACAATCCTTCACAAAAAGTTGAGAACTTCGCCTCTACAGTATGATTTTTCTGCTTATAAAAGTGAACTTTCTAGAGGCAAATTGCCTGTGTGGTTAGGACTAATGCGTGCATGATCTCATAATAACACAAAGTCCAGAGAAACATGGTGATCATTGGTTTGATAGATTGCCAAAAAAATTAATGAAACTGGCTTATGTCATGGGCCAGATTCTCATCGCGATGGAGCAAAGTCATTTGGTTAGATGAAAGTCTTGTAATGTGATGACATATCATTGGACCCCCTGGATGGAGATGTTTGATGAATAATGCTGATGCGTTGAAATCTTCTGGCGGCCAGAGTTGGATCGGACCAAACTAATCTATTGTTTGATTTATGAGCACAAATGACAAATCCCATCTAATACGATATTAAATCCCCTTATTATATTCTTAGGTAGCAATTCTACCCATAAACACTAATATGTGGAAAACTAGGGCATCATCTGGGATTCTGTGTGCATGCATGATCAATTTTCATGTTTTTCCGACTCCCTACCCTGACAGAAAGACTCATGAATACAGAGCTCAATAGCTCCTCTCTAAGTTCTGAACTCTGCCATCTCTTGACTTTTCCCTCATCAACAGTATCCCTTCCATTCTCACAGCAGATTTAAAGGAAAATGGTTAGGTGAAAATTCACTTTTTTTTTATTTCTAGATTAATTATTTAAATTAGTGCCACTTTTATTAGAGGAATAAAAAAATATTTCAGAACGTCTTTATATATTTCGTGAAGTTAATTTTGAGAGTTAAAAATAAAAAAAAAAAGAAAGAGAAAAGTATTTTCTTTCAAAGTAAAAACTTCATCTTAATATAAATTATATCCCTATATATATAGAGAGAGAGAGAGAGGAAGTGGTTACTTTTTTTTAGTAATTCTCTAAACATTTAGACCAAGTCCATTTTTCATTAACCAACCAGGTCTAATTCAATAAACAGCACTCAAGATGCAATATATTCATTTATACCTGCCGATAGCACACCTTCCACCAATTCAGTAGCTGGTTCACAATGATTATGGTTAAAAAGACATAGAAAGTGAGATATTGAACTTCGCTTTGCGGTATATAATCTAGATTATGATGTTTAATCCTTACAAAATTTCCAATACTAACACTGGTTACATCTTTTCTTTTGTTCCTTATTCAGAAGGAAGGACAACGCAGCAAAGAAATGAAGAGGAAAACTGAAGAGATGAAAGCTAAGATTTACTCTCTAAGAATCCAAAAACTGGAGCTCGACAGGCGGCTTCTGGAGATGCAGTCTACGATTGGTTCTATGAAGGATGAACAAAAGATTATGGAGTCTGCACTCGAGGAGAAGAAAAGTGAGATCAAACTGCTAAGAGAGACGAACAAAGGTGCAGAGAAAGAAACTCTTCAAATGGAAGTACTTAGAGAAAGTCTGAAACAAAAGGAAGCTGAAATTGAGGATTTAAAGCACCGTCTTGACTACTCAGCTAAGATATGGTCAGTCAGCACAGATGACCCATCGAGCCCACCTGTAAACAGGACTGTGACCTTGAATATGATAAGCGAGAATAACATAGAGGCTGGAAAGAGTGAAGAAGAGGTTCTATTGCAAGAATCTGTAAATGATAGTAATGGTTTGAATTCAACAAAGGGTAACGGAGGCAACACTACATCCATCAATCAAGAACGGGTGGGTGATACTGCCATAGTTGAAAATGCAAGTGAAAGCAAGGTCGCAATTCCTGACAGGATAGAAGAGCCCAGGGAAGAGCAGTTGCAGATGCTTGAAGGCTCCAGAGATGGAAGAGCCAATGGAATTAATAAGGATCAACTGAACAAAAGTGAAAGTTCTCAAGAGAAGGGTACTTCTGGTACGGGGGAGGAAAATAATGCTTCAAATACAACTGAGACGAACGTTAGCGGGATTGGCAGAGTATCAAAAATTACAGATGCAGATAATGAAGAGAAATCAAAGGATGGTGAAGAGCATAAAGTTACCCGAGATGGGAAGCTGGAACTCGAAAATGTTCAGGAGGCAGAAGGTCATCAAGAAACTTTTAGGGGTGGTGTGAAGTTGAAAATGATGGACAGCTCCAGAAATACGAGGAAGGAGAAATACCACCAAGCTAGCAGAGTAAGAGGAAAGAGAGGGGAAATGGGTACCAGGAATAGGCTGCTGGAGATTAGAAATCATGAAAACAATGGGGCTGAGAAGATGAGAAGTAGGAAGTCTCCTACTGATGATCAAGGAAGACTAATAGACAGAGAAGAGGGAAGAGCGTCCAATGATGGGAAAACAGAAAAAATAAGAAAGGCAGTGGATTCTTCTGATGGCAAAACAATGGAGCATCAAAACCATGAAGACTCTAAAGATCTGCAAAACAAACTGGGGAAAGATGGTACAAATCACCAGATGAGTGAAGACCATGAGACATTGAAAAGGCTCCGGATAGCTCATGACAGCAAAGATCTGACAAATGGAAGCCTTGATGGCCAGCCTGGTAACATCAGAAGCAATGACAGCAAACAGAGCCTGGATAAAGGCCATCAACATGAAGATCGACAACAAGCCAGTGGCACACAAGAAAGCAGAAACAGCAGCATCATGAACAACAAAGAAAACAGTAATGAACAAGTGAAACTAATCAGAAAGCATGAAAAGCAAGAACAAACAGAGGATTCAGATACAGAACAGGAGACAGATGGAGGAGCTGGATATCTTTACAAGGATTCATTTTCTGATTTTGAAGAAGATAAAGAAGAGTACAGAGAGGAAACAGACGAGTCAGAGTTCTAGCTGATTAACAACGGCATTTGGTATTCTTGCTGTAAAGGTCTTAGATTTCTATCCGCATGACTGCTAGGACTACTATCAAGTTTGCTTGGAGTTTAAAGCTAAATACATAAATACGTGGCATATAAATTTGCAGGAGACTGGTGGTTGGCAGCACAGAAATGCCTATGAGAATAATCTTGAAATAAAAAATCAAGAACCCAGATGGTACGGAATGATACCTGCTGGAAAATTTCCTGCTTCCTATGGTATTTTGGATCAAATTTTTACTGGGAAAATGTTTCTGCCCCCTTCACAGGTAATTTAACGGGATTTTAACCTTTTTCATAACCATTTCTTCCAGATTGAGTTCAAAAAAGCACCACAGTTACAATCAAACGGTTGTGATTCACACCCAGGTTTTCTACAATTTCCATCGCAACATTACTCCATTGTTTGTCAACTTGTATTCTTAAATAACCCGGGCATTAATTTCTCCAGACCATGATAAATTTTTCACACATTCGTCCCAACTTCAATCACTATTGGCAAAGCTAGGTCAAAGTGTTAACATCAGTTCAGTTTGCTGTAAAAAGAAAAGGAAAGAAAGGGCACAACATATACCTGTAATTTGTAGTAAATCCATTACATGAATTTGGACTAGGGGAATATAGTATCGGATTATCAGAATATTAAAGGATAAACATCAAACCATTAGAGTGACAACAAAATGGCCATGCCAAAGTAAAAGGGCTTATTTACTTTCCCAAAATTAGCAATTTAACTTCCATTTTTAATAATCCATCATTCTCTTGTAAAACAAATGACAGTACTTTTCAGCAGAATCATCTGCGAACAAGGAAAATTGATCCCAAGAGGTGAAGTACAGCCAAACACATTATTACCAGAAAAGTCATGGGACGATTACATGCTTCAAGCCTCAGTGTGCTGCTTCTACCACTTTCTGTAAACAATAATCAAATGTCAGGAAAAAGGAAAACAAAACTGTAATCTCAGAATTACTAGCTAAAGTTGGCAAGTTAAATTTCATTGTGAGTTTCATTTATGAGATCACATTGTTGGTTTTCCTAAAAATAAGCCTTCAGTTAATACTCTCTTTGCTTGACAACTAAGAATTATCAAGTTAATAATCTCTTTGCTTGACAACTAAGAATTATCAAGTTCCCGAATGGCTTGAGCAATTGAGAAGTTCACCAATAATTGCAGAAACTGTGTTCTCCTAAATTGCATTCCATCTATAAGCCTCGCTATCCCCATCAAACACAAAAAACATTAACCTCAAGACTTAATCTTGCAACTGCTCCATGTTATACAATATACTTAGACACGGCCTTCTCCTAATAGCCAGATTTCCTCTTAAGATAATTGGTGTAACGATTGTGTTAGGTGTAGCCATACTCAATATGATTATTGCCTATTTTTATTTCATCACTGTGTATAAGGTCCAAGCATATAAAAAAACTCCACAAGTCAATTCCTTCAATAACTACACATCACATAATCAAATTGTTTAGCACAATATTGAAGAAGCTTTTGCTATATGTAGAACTACAAAAAAAAAAAAAAAGAAGACTCAGAGAAGAAATGGTGAAAGAAGAAGATGAGACGTAGAAATTGATCGTGGAGGAGCCTTACACTTCCTCCATGAAATTAAAAGTTGTCAAAGATGCCAAGGTGCTTGTCTGGGTGCCTTGGCACTAGGCACTGTACACTTGAGGCATTGCCTAGAATCTTCTAGGGTTTTTTCTGATTTATATTGTTTTGCAATGCTTTCATAATATCACCCTTTAGATAATAGCTGTCTTCAAAGGTATTTTCTAAAGATATTGAAAAGACAAATACATTCTTCCACTGATCAAAGAGTACATATACCACCTATTGCTGCATCAACAGTATGAAAACAAGTACTTGAATAGTTTAATGATCTGTTATACAATTCTTTCATCACAAGTACTTGAATAGTTTAATGATCTGTTGTACAATTCTCTCTCTCTCTCTCCCCTCCCCTGCTTTACTATTTTTTTTACTGCCCCCTTTTCTTCTATAAGTTTCAATTCTCTTTGTCGCAGAAAGTTGTCTTATCCAACTAGCTGGTCTTACGACCTTAAGGCAATTTGCGCCTTTGGCAATATTGGTTGCATTTTATTTGACTACTATTGGATTTTCAACTATTTATGATTATCTATCATATTAAAAATTTAATTTCCATCTTGGAAAATGTGCAAGCTTATGTACCTTGAAATATGGTTGTAATTATCACAATAATTGAAAATAAATTTTTAAAAATTACATGTTGACATGTACTTCATTTAGATAAAAGGGCAACCAGCGACTAAAAATGTGAACGAACAAAGCAGGGCAGAGGTAGCATATGCTAAAATTTGGATAAATGGAGCAAAGGCACTTCATCCAATGACAAAAATGTGAAATTTTGAATTTTCCAATGACTAGGCTGGAAATAACAGTAAAGTACAAGGTTGTAGCAGTAAAATTATATCCAAAAGTACCTCTTCCTCCTTCCCCTTGCCTCCTGTGAAGAACTTGTATCCCCCATAGAAGGCTAAACCCCAACCACTTAAAGAGACAATAACAAACTGCAAAACCAAACATCCAACAAACAGTCAAGACAATTTGCATCAAACACATGCCTTCCATTAGATCCATCTACCACCAATATTAACAACATCAATGGGACAAGGACATAGATCAGAAACTCATATATAAAGAATCAGACATGAAAGCTCCCATAAAAAACCAAACAACTGTTTGATAATAGAAATAAAACTCGTTAAACTCAAACTCAAAATGCATGAACCCGCAAAAGAAAACTTCTCCTTGTCTAGATAAAATGACTATCAAACAGCCCCAAATCCTAATCAACGCTGGCTGCAATACTGCTCCAAAAAGACAATACTCTAGTTTGCAGTCAAAATGCGAAAAAAAAAAACAGAAATGCACAACAACCTTTGGCCCAAAAAAACACAAATCTCACAAAAAACAATAAAATGAACATTAAAAAAAATCGTTGCAACATTAAGCATATATGATATAATATAAAAATGTAAAAGACTGACATGCTCTTCCTTCCATTTAGATGGGCTCATTGGATCTTGCCAGCAGTTAATCCTCGGTGGCCCATGGTGGTCTGCAATTATCACAAACACACAAGAAAAAAAAAATCGCCAAGCAAAAATTCATCATTTATTTTAAATATTCATAAGAGTAATAATCTGAAATTTTCAATTAAAGAGTGAAATCCATTTCAACTAAAACCTAATTTCAATATTTAATTACGCTCAAATTTCTCAAAAACTGAGCTAAAGATTGCAACTTTTTAATCTAATCATCAGCTTCTGATCTTCGGTAGAGACGAATAAATACGTATGTGTTAAATGTATATACGTGCATTTATAAGTAAATAAAATGTATGTTAGGTAAGTGTGTATCTATATGTGTTTTGTGAGATGGATTTACCTGCAGCGCCGGCGAGGCCGCGGCGGTGGATGAGAGCGGCTACTTGAGCTGGTGACTTGGGAGAGGAGATTCGAGAGAGAGTAGCGGCTTGTCGAGCTGCTGCAGCCGCCGATAATGTAGCCATGGTTTTCTTCTCTTTTCTTTCGTTGTAGCGAACGAGTAAGAGCGAGAGAGAGCGGAGATGGAAAGGAGAGTGGAGGATTGGATTTCTTTTTTTCTTTTTGCTTATAAGAGACGGGAGAGTGTAAGAAACGATGCCGCGTGATGTAGTTTTGGTGGGATCTAACGACTTGTCGGTTGGTTTTGGGGGAAAGGCTTGTTGATTGGATATTAAAACTACATGCCGTTCTTGGGCAAAGAACATGTTATCCAGGAACGACTTGGATGTTGGTTTTAGGGAATAGGCTTGTTGTTTTCAGGCATCAAGTTGGGAAAAAAAAAAATCAATTAATCCAGTAAAAAACTTGATTGATGCTCATAAAAGCTAATAAAATAGAAAAATCAAAGAAAACACAAACAACACATAAATTTTTAATGGTAAAAAAGAATTACAGATATGATTTTCAATTCATAATTTATATTTAAAAAATAAATATGTGGTGATTGATTTCTAAAAAGTTTAAAATACTTTTAAATAGTTTAAAAAACCTCTCTCTACTATGAAACAACTTTAAGTCTGAAATATTAAAAAAATTAAATCATAATCTAAATATAAATAATAAATCTAGAAATATCTAGGAATAATAACAAAATTAACCAAAACAACAACATTTAAGTCTAATTCCGTCCAATAAATGGCCAAATAACTTTTTATAAGAAAATTGAATATATAATTACATAGAAATATTTAAGCCTGATCCAATAATTAAATTTTCTTTTAAATCTAAACATATCCACTGATTTAATCTAATCTTTCTAAACTTTCTCTTAAGTCTAAGCAAATTTAACTAATTTATAAAAATAAAAACATATTACAGATCATTTGTATAATTTACTCAAATAAAATATCTATTCAGTTATATCTAATCTTCACCCGGATATTCAGTACTTTAAGTTTCTGTAAGCTCGATTATATGTCATCTACCTTAACTCATTAATTTTATTTTTTTTTAAAAGAACATTTTTGATAAAAACAACATTGACTGTTTTTCAAGAGGTGACCCTCCCCACCCTGAGCTTTATCCCATGCCACCACCTTCGGGGTTCACAACTATGCATACAGGTCGGGGAAAACACTAAAATCCCGGTATTTTTTCTTTACTGTTAGGAGATCTTCAAACTAGCTTTTGTGTAGGATATAAAAAAGGGACAAACTCAAAGACAAAACCACTTAAGTGGTTAAGGTGGCATGAGGAATAATTCGCTTCTGGTTTGAAATATATCCAGATACCTCAAGTTTTCAAGTAGATTCATTGCATAAATCAATTTTAATGATCCACGCTAGTGTGTGAAAGTTGATGATACTGGATAATATTCACTCTGTTGAAACTAAATTTGAAGTTTGCCTGCATTTTAGCAATATTTGGAAACAGCAAGGCATAATAATTGAATCAAGGGTAGCAATTTTGATTCTTACTAGAACAAAAAATTAGTAGCAGGTGAAGAATAGCTCAACCTTCGATGTCAAGGTACAGAGAAACAGTAAGTTGGCAGTTTTACTTTTGCTTGAAGCTAGTTGAAGTGGCTTACAATCACATCCACATTACATTTTATCATGCCCTATTCAATCACAGCCTCCCCTTTTAGTCACCTACAGAAATTTCTCCTTCAATTCCCTGTATTTCTGCCTAAGAAGGGGTTTCTTGTAGCTGTGATTGTTGTTCTTGCTGCTGCAGTTGTTGCTGCTTCGAATTGAACTGGATTATATAGCACTTCAAACTTTTCTCTTGAATCTGTGAACATGATCCAAAAAAGTTAGTGTCAAGAACTTCCAGTCCAGACTCCATGAATGACAAGTTAGCCATAAAGTTTTTCAAAACTTGGATATCACATTTACTGGGATCATAATGATAGCGTTCAGCTTTCTACCTGTAGTGCAGATACTGTCTGAAGAAGTTCATGGCATTCTTCCATTAGTAGTTTCTCTTGTGCAACCACCTCTGCTAATTGTGAGAGAAGTGTAACAGTCTGCTCAGCCTGATAAGGAAGAATTCCAAGGTTAGTTCGGATGACATAAACAGGAGGCATCAAGCGCCGACGTAGTGTGATAGGTTTAGTAGTTTCTGCTTACCGTGGATGAAAATGAAGATAATGCTGACTTGATGGACGCTGAGAGATCTGATGCATGTCGTAGTGCGATGGAAGCTGATTGTGGATCAACCTATAATTTAGCATTCGTTAGTAAAATTAATTGATGCTTAGCCACAAAATAGTTTTAACATTATTTCCTTTTGCCCCTTCTTCTCTGGGATTACCTCTGCTCCTTCAATGAGGGGAACTCTGCAAACAACAGAATGTAAACTCTCTTTAGTCTTTGAAACTGAAGATAAGTGCTGCCTTTCCATGTCTCCCCAAGCTTCCAACAATTTGATCTGCACAAGTTATCCGAAACGAGTGTATGAACATGTCTGCTCTATCATGACATTACATTATAATTGAGATTGCTATACCGGCATTATTAATTCACTATGCAAAAATATTTGTTACTGACTTGAGAGTGAAGAACAAAGTCTAGCTTCATCTTGAGCTTTTCCTTCTGAAGCTTTAGTCTCCTTTGTGCGACAGAATGTCGAAGCTTTGAAAGACCATCCAACACCCATAACAGATTGTTCTGGAAAACCATCAGATAAAGAATTTTTCTCACGCTCAACTACAATTGAAGAACTTTGTGATGGTTTACAACCCTGCCATTGGTACAGTGGCAAAGCCACATGGGTGCAAAAATGGGCTATTGGCCCTTAATGTTGTTTTTCAAAATAAATTTTTTTGTTAGTTATATTTGTTAGCTTTTTTTCTTTCTATACTAATTAGTTATTGAAAATATTACATTTTATAATAATTTATGAATTTATTGAATTAATATATACTAACATATATGAATTAAAATAAATTTTAATAAATTAATAAATATTTTACTATAAATTTTATATAAAAAATAATGATGATGAATTTATTAGTAATTAAAAGTAAAATGCATGAAAGCTAAAAACATTATGGATATAGTAGATAAATTAAAAAATATTTAATATTTATATTTAATATATTTATACAAAACAAGAAATTAATAAGAATTATATCAATTTGGGATAATTCTTTTAAACTATGATTTTAAATGTTATGTATTATATATTGATATAAAATTATTATCAAGAATTTTTGTAGTCCTTGAAAAATTTAAAAATAAAAAAATAAATATTTATTATATATATTAAAAAAATATTTTTAATAAGATTAAAAATACAATAATTGTAAAGCAGTTTTAAATTATAAAATCTAAAAAAAATAACTATAATATAATTTTTATATTTTAAAAATTATTAAATTAATTTTGATTAACTTGATACATTTCTTTATATAACATATATTTATATAATATATAATATCATATTTATTGGTAATTTTCCCTCTTATTTAAAAAATCTCCGTCACTGCATTGGCAGTGGTATAAATCATTTTTATACCATTGTGATAGCAAAGTTAAATACATTGATAAAACCCTTAAACTAGCATAACTTGATCAGCAAAGTTAAATCATGCATACCTCCACTTGCTTATTTATGTTCAAGTTCATAGTAGCAGCTCTAACATTTGCATACCGCCATTGCATCAGCCGAATA